AGGCATGTGGATCGGGATATCCATGATATCCATTAATTTAATAGTAATCAATGTCATAATTGCTTTTGACATTGTTTTCAATTATTTATATGCTAAAATATTAGTTCAATTGTATTCATATATTTATCATCCATAAAGATTGTTAATCATATTACACTATTAATTAATAATTTAGATTATTATATTATTTATTTGGGTAGTACTGTATATAAAATTTTGTGTTTAGACATAATTCAAATTTTACAAGTTACTTAAAAACAATTCAATTTGAGTAGGCAAGTATTGTATTATAACTTATAATTTATAAACCTATGGTTTAAATTCAAACAGTTTGTACAACAAATGATTTCTTTGTAATAATTATTTAACAATATTTTCACAAATAATTATTATATTATATTTTTATTTAAAATTGCTTTCCAGAATCTCGAATAGATTTTTCAAATATAAAATTTTTATCTAGTTTAAATTGAATAATTAAAATTTTTATTTAAATACTTATAATCCATGTTTACAATTTTATATATTATAAATATGGTACTTTTAATTTCTTAAATATATTTTTAAATTAAGCTTCTATTAGATGATTAGACTCGCTATTTTAAATTTAACATTCATAAATTATATTTGCTAGTTTTAAATAATTTAATAATTTTTTAAACTTGTATTATTTTCATAGACTTTTAATGTCATTGATCTGAGTTATTTTTATTATAAACATTTTTAATTAGCTTCCTTAATTATGTAGTATACCTTAAAATCTATATTATAAAAACCTTATAGGTTCATAAAACTCATTAATAAACACATGTGGCTACCGTTTTAATTTATTTTTAAAAATATAAAATATTAAATAAAAACTAAAATTTTAAACACTAATTAATCTTATCAGTGACAATAGAATTATAAAAATAAATTTTATAATTTGATAAACTAATTTTTAATCTACAACTCACCATGCATCAAATTAAATACTTTATTGCTATCATATTAACAACTACCTACGTGTGTGCCAAGGAAAGTATCACCGACGTTTATTTTGACTATGTAAATTCAAAGTTGGTCGACTACGAGGGTCAATTGTCGCATTATGATCATAGAGATGCTCAATTAACTGATATTACTAGTATTACTACTATATTTCAAGAGGTGTTTGCACAAATTACTCAACTCCCGAATCAGACAAGCTTTGCCGTTATTATAGAGCAAATTCAAAGTATATTGAGCGGGATGAATAGTACAGGAGGTGGTCAGACCCTCACCAAAAGTAATTCACCCATGGTTAATTTTCTATCATTCATTCTCGATATATTCAAGCCGTTTAGCGCGGTAGTGAGACACGTGACTGATATCATGAAAAGATTTGTTCATGATCAATAATTTGTGAATTGATTGTACGTAATTAATAACAAAAAGTAATTTTAAATAAATATAATTAAAGGATATGTTATATTTTAAAATAAAGTTACCAAAATGTGTATAGCTAACTAAACAGTTTGCAAAATAAAACAATTAGTTAAACTTTGTTTATTAAATTATTGGTCAAACTAATTAAATTAAATAGAAATATCGAATTACTTATACTGTATAACATAATGAGATAAGCATGTCGTATTGACGAACCATTGTTTAATTGCTAATGTTTAATAACGTTGATGTTGATTTGACCTACGTTGATTTGAGTTACAATACCTATAATGTTAAAATCTTAACCACTCTATAGCGGTTCCGACCATCATATCATTGCATGTGATATATGGTTGGAATCAGCTCAATGAGTAGATTAAGAAATTATCTTCTTGAGTTGAATTAAATAGAATTATCTTCTTTGACCATGGAGGAATATTAGCTGATCCAGATTAAGAAGTGAATTTCTTAACCTACTCATTGAGCTGATTAAATAGAATTATCTTCTTTGACCATGGAGGAATATTAGCTGATCCAGATTAAGAAGTGAATTTCATAACCTACTCATTGAGCTGATTCCAACCATATATCACATGCAATGATTCGATGGTCGGAACCATTAATATTTTAATATTTTAGGTATTGTAGGTAAAATCAACGTAGGTCAAATCATAGACAACCGTTTAATAATAATGTATTTATATTTAATTATTAACTATGAAATTAAATTAACTATGTTTGCTATTATTAATTAACTTTCAGTTTTATTCAAGTGATTAAGATCTATTTAAATACTCTGTGTACATTTAATTTCATTACAACATAATAATAAGTAGTACAAAAAATTATTACATTATTAGGAAAAATACATCTTGATGAAATATCGTGGTTAATAACAGATTTATAGTGAAAAGGTAATTTATATAATAATAATTGAAAATTTAAATCCCAGAGAATCGTATTGATTAGTAAAATGAATCATAAAATCGATATAAATATATAATCCATAAAATGTGTCGTAAACCGAGAGATCAGTAGTTCATAAAACTATGGGAGGCGTGGAAGGGGTGCATCGGGCCATCGCTGGGCCGTCGAGGGGGCGGCTCCTTGTCGTCGGGCTTCTCCTTATACCAGACGCCGAAATGTCCGCCCGGTTTGGTTCGCTCCTCAAACCCCTTCCCACTGCCGTCCTCTTGGGACAGTCGTCTCTGAAGCTGATATTTAGCCACATTGTCGTCGTAGTTGGCTATGTGTGCAATGAGACAGGTCATTTTAGATTTGTATGTTGTTAAATTAGGTGATTTATAGTTATTGAGAATTTAAAAAGTAAATTAAATATTAAGTTGTGAGCATAAACTGTAAATGAATATACTTTTTATATTTCATATAATAATAAATTCAAAATGTTTTAAAATTGGATTCAAATGAATAGTCATCTCAAAAAAAATGTTTTAATATTTATTTGAAAATTATTTTGTAAAATAATCACTGATTAGTATCAAGTAAATAAAAATAAAAATAGCAAGAATAACGTCTTAGTTGGCTATGAATTTAGGGAACCAGGTCATAGTATATACAGTATAAATATATTAAAACTATGCTTGTAAATTAACTTTTTAGAAAATTAGACGGGATTAACTTAAAATTAGTACATTATGTTATTTCATAAGTTTTTAAAAGCTGTAACTTTTAGTGATATATTTTTTAAATAGTCAAATGATTTATTGTATTAAATTATAAGTTTTTCATGGAATAGCAAAATATGCTTTTATAAATACATTATACTGTATATATCTAAACAGTAGATTATGAAAATTTTAATCATTTCAAAATTTAAATTATTAATGTAATTTATTAAATAATTTAAATATTATTTATACGCTTATTTATACATATTTATAAATAAACAAGATTTCTATTAAACCTTAACCTACTAATTCTATTTTATTTTTCAACATGTTTTTGAAAAAACATTTAACAAATGTCAAAAAATAATGATTTCTTTAAAAATCCTCGAGAGAGAGAGAGAGAGAGAGAGAGAGAGAATGAGATTTAAGATTTAATTTTGACACAACGACATAAATAACTCTAAACCTGTAACACAAATATAATCATCAACTATAATACCAATTTACTACTAGTTTAAGTAAATTGTGGTATAGATCACGATTCACAACTAACAATTTAATATTAAATAATAGAAATATTACTTTTAAAATATAATATTAATTTATAACCATATTTTTAAAAATTTATAAAAGAGAGAGCACCGGGCAATACCGGGAGGGCACTAGTAGTTTACGACACTTACGTTTGGGTGAGTTCTTAAGCAGAGACCTGTAGTCGGCGTTGCGTTGCCGCACATCCAGAGTCGTGCTATACTTAGTCTCCCCGAACTGATTGCGTGCGCACACCTCTACCGTTCCCCTATCGAACTCAGAGGTCTTCGGTATCTCCAACTGATGGATGCCGTCGTTGCGGATCTTATACTTGGATCCATTCACCACATGATTGCCGTTTATGAACCACTTGACTAGGGGTCGGGGGTTGCCTACAAGTCGACAGCAGAATTTGGCGCTTTCACCCTCAGCCACCTCCAGGGGCTCGGGTTTCAGCACGAATACCGGCCCCAGGTCACCGCCTTGAAAACCTTCGATACTGTAATATTAATGGGATTTATATAATAATATACTGGGTAATAATTAATGTATTTTATAAAATAACAAACTGTAACTTGTTATATTTAATTTGTTTTATTAAAGGTAAATGTCTTAACTAAAAGTTTTGGCTTTGAACATGAAACAATTTTTAAATGCTGAAGTTTAATTAATAATTAGTTATTTAAAATTTTAAAAAGATAACTTGTAAAGGCGTATATTTTATTTGTTTAATTATATTAAAAAATAATTTATATTAAAGTTTTGGAGTGTCAAATAGCGTAGTTTTAGATACTGTTAAATTATATGTATAATATTAATTGTGAATGTCAATATGAACGTTATTAATTAAAATATGATTAAATAAAAATAATTATAAATTATTACTAATGTTAATTGAAGGCAAATAATCCTAATTAATCTATAAATTAGTATTATAACGTGTTAGTACTGGAAAATTGATTAACAAAGCATTTAATTATTTATAACTGTAACAGAAATTATTTTAATTATTTAATTATATCATAACATAATTTTTAATTTATAATTGTCCATATTAATTTAATCCGTATAAAATTTTACTCAAGATACATCATTTTTACAATAAAATTAACTTTCCTAGAATAATTTATACAGTATATTCTTTAATAATATTATTAATATTATTTACACACAAAATAAAGTTTATTTAATCTAAATACATTATTTTAATTAACATGCCTTAAATTAATATTTAAAAATTTTAATTGTTTAACAAATAATAGGCGTTAAAAATATTTTCATAGTTATAATGAACTTACGTTTGGTAGGAGTCCTCCATAAGTGCACTGAAAAAATGTAATATTTTGGCACAACTCTATCAAAAGCTACCAGTGCTCACAGTATTTATATATTAAAATCTATTCGCATATGACATAAGTGTAGTGGAGATGGTGAGGTGCCAGTAGCTTTTGGGCACATGTAGCTCAAAGACCTACGCGAATAGCACAATAAATGTACAGTATTTTTGCAAACAAACATTTCGCTGTAAAAATAAATACCAGAATATTCTGTGCGCTATATAATATAGGAAACCTATGCGCGCACCGGTATGTTGCGGTGAAATGTATTTATAATTGCACTATTTGCTATTACAATTAGATAAGTGCCTATTTATAACTATGCAAAAAAGTGTTAACAACAAAATTTTTCATTACTTTTGAGTACAAAAACAACAGCTATTTTGTTGAAAAATAAATATTTTTCATTCATTAAAAATTTGCTTATCATTTAATTTAGTATTAATAGTTAAATGTGCATTGTGTACATAATCAACATTATGTTTACTATGTAGATTATTTTATTTACAACTAATTTACGTTGCAATTTAAAATAGCAATTAAAATATAAATAACAATATCGTAATACAAAATTTTTGACCGTTTTAAAATTATTGCATACAAATAATTTAACTAAATCAAAAAATATTCATTAAGTTTATAATGTTTAAAATAATATTTTTAATAATAAATAAATAAAATTTTATTAAATGAATAAGTTTTATAAAATACGAATAGGAATACATATATACAATAAATATTATGAATTAATCTAGACTCCAAAACTATTTGAAAATAAAATTTAAATTTTATAAAAGATAATTATTTAACAAAAAACAAGTATCTATCTTGACAAAATATTTTAGCTATAAGATGACCTAATATTATTACATTTTATTTTTAAAAATTAAAAATAATTTTAAAAATGTTTACTTTTTATTTATGCTATTAGTGTGTTTAAAAAATATGAAAACTGTTATTATATTGAATTTAAATAGTAATGTTAGTTATATAACTTTGAACAATTATAAATTCAAAACAATCCCCGTGTGTTTAATTTTTAAAATATTTTCTCAATCATTACTACTAACACTGTTTAAAGTTTTAATTTTAAATTGTTCATCACTGGCCTTAAATAAAAATTAAATTATAATTTTGATTTTAAAAATGCTAATAAATTCACTTATTTTATTGAATATTCTTGTTTCATTAATTAACCTTTAACACAACAAGGGGTTTAAATATAAGTTTATATTTATAAGTGTTTTATATGGATAGTGTGTAACTATGATATATTTAGCTCATAAAATGTTTTTGATATAAGACAACATTGAATATATTTCAATTCAAATTAAATTTGTTTATAAATAAGAAATTATTATTATTATTTAGTTTGATAAAATACTTACATAATAAAGTATTTACTAAATTTGTATACCCTTAATATTATTTTAATATTATCTCGCCCATTTCATTAAATTATTTAAATAGTGATTTATTTTTGTCATAATTTGTTTATGTTCGATGTTAATTTCTAAATTACACTGTATAATATATTAATTTAATAAAAATAATTAAGCCTGACAAAATTTAATCAGACATGGTCAAAGGTATGCCACCAGCATTAGATATACTGTAAGTGTAATTTTTAAAAATTAGTATAAAATATATATTTTAAAATAAATAAAAATTTGTAATTTCTAATTAACAGGGCAAATTTAATAAATTTAACCGGTCCATGTGTCACATTCATTTTAATCCTAATATTATTTATAAGTATTGTGATCGGGATCAAATTGTGGATAAAGCACCGTAACAAGGAGGTTTATCTGGTATGGGGTATTCTAGCCACTATACTATCAATATGCGGGTGCTATGGTGGTTATCAAGTTCATTTCATAACTACTTTAATCTATTATACCTGGAGTACTATATTATTTTTGGTTGGTCTACCCACAATTGATATGCCCCTCTACATCCAGGTACTTCAGGTTTTGGCAATTATATCTGCTTGTTTAAATTTATGGGGTATTTATTTTGTAAATGATCGTGAGCAAGTTAGTAATGTTAGATATTAATTTATTGGATAATATATTCATAAAATGTACAGTAGTTAAGTATATTCATAAAAATTAAATTAATTTATTTAATGATTGATCAAAATTTATTAATTATTAAAACTAAACTTCAAATGTTGCATATGTGATTACAATTATAATTAGTAAATTATTAACTAATTTAAATTTAAATTATTTAAAATATTTTGTAAAAAATCAATAATAATTTAATTTAATAATAATTAAAAAGTAAATGAGCTCTCTCATTGACTGTGTCTGAGTCTAACTATCTGACTGGGTCTCACTGGGTTTTAAAGTCAACCCCACCCCCTCCCCCCTAGGCGTGCGTACATACTTTTTAATAACGCAATATAAGTTTTTAATATTAACTAGAACTTAATATTAAAATGTTTATTAATTCAACCGCGCTATTAATACGGTATACATTTAAAAACTGAAATCAAATATATAAAATTCATCAGAGTCACTAATATATTTTATAATAAGTAATTCTGGAATGTAATCTCGAGCCTATTTATTTTGCACAATAAATTGCTTTTTAATTTTAATTTAAACTTATATTAATTTAAACTATATTAAACTATTGATTAATATTATGAATAACTGTTAATTTGATAAAAATGTAAATAAATTGTTAAAATACAAGTAACCAAAGCAACCATGTAAAATTGTTTACCAACGAATTAGTATTTTACAATAAATTAAAAATATAATTTTGTAACCGTTCTAGATACTTTTTTAAATGCAATTTTAAAACCTAAAAGTTAGTATTTTATAATTTTTAATTTCACTAAAATTTATAAATTTGTATTTAATTGTTAAGTAACTGTAAATTTTATTTATAAACGTCTAAATTATAGGCAATATTTTATTATAATTTAACAATTGGGATGGAAACGAAAACGTTATTAATTGTTATCTATTGTACACTGTTCAATCTAGTCATTATTGATAGATTAATCACACAAAACAATAACTACATTAAAACTAGATTAGTTATTTTTAAAAATGCATAAAAACTATTTAAGAAAACTAAAAAAGAAAATTATATAATTTATAATAAAAACTGTCCTAAAAATATTGAAATTTAATTTTTACTCATAATGTGTTCTGGATTAAATCTATGATAATCACTCTGTAGATTACAATTTATTACATTTTTAATATCAATCGGTAGCCACCCGTCCGTTAGAGAAGCGGACGAGTCGTGAGTCCTGATCCGTCCAAAAGGTATCTTTGGTGCCGACAATTGTGGCCCGGATTACGATATCACCGCTGAATGAGTCGGGAGGGCTCCAGACACTAGTGATCCGGTTCTTTGGCGAACCCGATCTATGGGTTAACGTATTCTGTGTAATCAGATTTGATTTTATTACCCTTTTACGTGGGCTAATCCCCGGCTCTAGCGGTTGAAAATGGTACTATTTTTCCCGGGGATAAGATCATATTATCCCCTGTTAAATTTAGAGACATCTGTAGTTAAAAAAAATATATGCAACTAAAATGTTTAACTAAAAAAGTTGCCTAAACTATCGAAAAAGAAGACTGTCAGGATCTGGCTAAGCTGGCACTTGGGATTTATAATTGGATATGAAAGTCCTTTCAATGCTTAGTCCGAATATTTAATTTATATTTATATGTCCTGTGACTTCGGCTTCGGTCTCATTGACCACTTTTATCGGGAAGTTTGGTCAATATAAATGTGTACGTGTGATATATCAATTTTATAGAGAATTTTACGCAGAATGATTGTATTAATTAAATTAATAAATAACGTCATTTTCATCAAAAAATAGTCAGATTATTGCTTTAAAATATTTAAAATCGCATTATATTTGTTAAATCTTAAAATTACACAATTATTACTTATATATTCGTGTTCTTTGTAAAATTTTCTACAAAATTTATATTTCACATGTATATTTTTATTATGATAAAATTACCGATAAAAGTAATCATTGCTGCCTAATAATGTAATATTGTATAAGCTGGAAATTGTGGTTCTACATTTTAATATAAAGTATACAATTTATGGCATGTTCATAAATCAGTTAACAAATAGATAATATCAATTAGTTTGTCCTGGAACCACGGGTTCGGCCTTGGTGACCACTTTTATCGTAATAAATATATACATGTGATATATCAATTTTGTACAAAGAACACGAATATATAAATAATAATTGTGTAATTTCAAGATTTAACAAATATAACGTGATTTTAAAGCAATAATCTGACTATTTTTTGATGGAAATGAAGTTATTTATCAATTTAATTAATACAATCATTCTACTTAAAATTCTCTATAAAATTGATATATCACATGTACACATTTATATTGACAAAATTTCTCGATAAAAGTGGTCACTGGCGCCGAACCCGAGACAATATAAATTACATAATCGGATTTAGAATTGAATGGACTTTCATATGCAATTATAAATCCTAAGTGCCAGCTTAAAATAGGGGTCCAAACCTTCAGTGTCCAATATTTGTATACAAATTACGTAATACGGTAAAAACGTGTTGTCGGGGATAAGATCATCTTATCCCCGGGTAAATTTAATAGTTCCCGAAAGATAGCGATAGTGGCGACCGGGGATAAGCCCACGTAAAAGGGTATTATGAGTTGGGAATTATTTTGTGATAATTATTTTTATTGATTACTACTTATTATTTTATAAAATGTAAATTGTACAGGCTGTTCATTGAAATAATTTATTTTAATGCATTATAAATTTATTAATTTAACTGTGTCACATTATATACAAATAATATACAAATATACTGTAACAATACAGTCATTTCAACTAGTTAATTTTGAAGTATTGATCAATTCAATAGTTTTAAATTAATAGTTAATTACTAATTTAATTAATAAAATACAACGTTATTACAGTTTTGTATAGATGTCCATATAATAGATTAATAATTTAATTTATCCAGCTAAAATATTCTTATTTCGTTAAGACTGTAATAAAAAATATACT